CAGGAAGTGCTGGCGTTAAGATTTGCATGTGCTAGAGTTTGCAGCTTTAAAATGTACTTTTAATAATGTGTGGGGTCTTCTAAGGCTTAAAAAACAAAACGCCAAACCACACAAAACAAGCTCAAATTAAAAAAACCCCAAACAACCAAACCCAGTCATTCTGTGGCTTTGCCATTTAAGCAGATGCAAAATACTGAGATTGTTTTCCACACCTCTTCCTCTCAAAGGAGCATAAGGGGGGGTGGGGGGAGGAATTGAACGAGACACCTGTGAAAAATGCTGTCCCAGACTATTAAGAGGGCTTGCAAACACTGTTGCTGGGATCTTTATAGTAGGAAGATTCAGGCCATGTTAATTGATGCGGCTAGCATAATCTGTAACGATTGTTAAGCTACATGTTATTTTGAGATGTTATTTCTGTAGAGACATACAGTTGATCCTGCTGTAGTTGGCCTTACTGTGCTAGAAGTGTCAGTTCTTATAATCTCTCTTTCTTTTTCGTAAGCTTTGCTCAATAGAGGTAACATGTGAATCGGCAAGTGTGATGGCAGCAACTCTGGCTAATGGTGGCTTTTGCCCAATCACTGGTGAAAGAGTACTGAGTCCCGAAGCAGTCCGGAATACCTTGAGTTTAATGCATTCCTGTGGCATGTATGACTTCTCAGGGCAGTTTGCCTTCCATGTAAGTAGTTTTCAGATACGCATTACAGCTGACCAGGAAGATTAATCTGTGCTAGTGTTTTCCATGTTCCAGGGCTTGTTTGCTTGCTTCTGGGGGAGAGGAGAGGGTGTTGCACAAATTGTTTAGAAATTAAACACTCCATACAGGAAAATGTCACCTAGTATTCATGGCACTACTAGTACAGCATACCTTGTATAGCGCTTACTATTCTCTGCCACTTCACATTTGGGAATACTTTTCATATTGAAACGTAAGGACTTTCCCTTAAGAAAGGCTGTTCCTGAGAGAAAGCTCATGATGCAGAAGCATTGGAAACAGCCTAACTGAAGAAATCCTGCTATATGGAATAAAGAATAGCAGAAAGCCTTTGCAGACAGTTGCTTTTTCTTTGCTAACTTGGGTGTGTGAATTTTCCTCGTGTGTTGTAAAAGTGGCTGTCATACACAGTGGATGTACCATCATATTTTCCAGCAGTATATTTCTTACATGTAAGTATTTCAAAATATACTGCACCTTATTTGTTTTCAGCATTTTGTTTTGAACATTTTTATTTTTTCTTATTGCATACACATAAACGTAATTATGATGCTTTTTGTGACCTAAAAGTTACTGCTTACAGAGCTGTGAGGATATGTGACATGTTAATTCCTATTTGGAAAAGCAGTATCTTTATCCAGATTATAAATAAGTAGGTTATTGTATGATTTCCTGGGCAGACTCTTCTGTTTTCTTGAGGTTTTCTTTTTTACCTTTTCCAGTCAAGATTTTTTTATGTGTATAGCTTTGTACTATTACCTTGTTGCAAACTGTTCTTGACAGATAAACTTGTGTGCTACTGCTTAGTCATAATTGCTTTTTTATAAGAGATTTTAATTCCCCTCTTCACTGTGTTACTGACTCGCTATGTTACTGAGAGCAAATAACTTTTATGATCATGTACTTTGGATTGTCACAAACTGTGCTTCAGGTTATTGTCTATCAAAAAAGACATAAGTAATAATGCTTTCCTAGCTTAAAGTGCTTTTCAGATCTACATTTTATAAATGCTGCATAATAATCTTCAGTAGAATGCTAATACATTGGGTTACAATAGTGAAGAATGTTTGCAGAGGACAGCAGTTCTCTAATTATTCTATAGGTTGGTCTTCCTGCAAAATCTGGAGTTGCTGGTGGGATTCTTCTGGTTGTTCCTAACGTCATGGGCTTGATGTGCTGGTCACCTCCTCTGGACAAGATGGGCAACAGTGTTAAAGGAATTCACTTTTGCCATGTAAGCAGCATTGCTTTTAGTGTTTTTTGTGTGTGTGTTGGTTTTTTGTGTGTTTGGTTTTGTCTTTTGCAGCTAGTGCTTACTGAGCTTCAGTTAGTATAGGTGAGATCTGAGTGAGTTAAATGCATAGCCAGTTTCATCTGATCCAAGGCTGAAAGTCCAAGAAGAGGCTTTTTCATTTTAGGAATAAATAACACTTTAATTCAGTGAGCAAGTAAGAAAATACGATGCCAAAAACACTGGAGAAACTTACTGTGGAAAAGCTTTGAAAAGGAACACTGCATGAAGTAATGAAAGAACTGGTTTTGTCTATACTGTACGAGAAGCTGTAGACCTCTATTTACAGACTTACTTTTGTCTCCAGTCATAAACAATTTTCAAAACTTTGGAAATGCAACTCTTATTTCATTACAACAAAAGGAAAAGATTCTAATGAAATACTGCAGTTCTGATGTATTTTTAAGTGATTTTTATAAACAATCTGACATAAAACATGTCTTCATAGATCAGACCCAGTTGGACAAGCTGTTCCTAGCTTCATCTCTTGCTTTGGAATGGGCTGTGGATGATCTGTTTTATAGCAGCATTAGCTGCAGGAAAGCTTTTGTTGACTATTTTGTAATGATGAATAAGATGTTTTGTGGGAGAGGAGAATGTAAAAAATTGTCTTTTTCATTTTCTCCCCTAAAATTACCTTGTACTTCCAATTAAGTTGTTATAAACT